CATTCTGAAACTGTAAAGCTAAAGCAGCGTAACAGTGAGGAAAATAGTAAAATGAATTAATACCCTAATGTTACAATTTTTTATTTAACACGTGGAATATAACTATGATTTCTATCCCCATAGGTGACACGTTTTGTATTTCACTTCTGACATAACTGGTTTGTGAATCTTTACTCCGGGTTTATTATTGCGTGTGACAAGTTTGAAACCAAACGTATATTAGCTCAGTCTAAAATCCTCTGAAAAAAGGGGTCTACATTTTTCAAACATTTTAATGTTTAGAAAGGTCATTGAATTGAAGCCTTCATAATGTGTCATTAGTTTATGACGTTGTATACTTGCCGATCACCTTATACATCTTCGCGGCCTCTTTCCATAGCAGATCTAAATTGAATTAAAGTTAGGCTCTTTTACTAGGGCATCCAAGCTCGGGTTTTTCGCCAAGGCGGTGGCAACCTCTGGACATCCATTTGGTGCCTGCGAGGACTGACTTGGAGTAATGAGTAACAAAACGAAAATGGCAACTCGGAAACGCTTCCGGTATCGTAAAAACAAATCAGCATCTTAAATGATGTTTTGTGCAAAGTTATTCTTGTTTGATTAACTTGCACTGGAGGCAAAGACTTTAAATCAGCGGCGAAGTCACGGCAAGAATCGAAAGCGGAAATCGGGAGCTCAAGCGTGGCTGCTGCGTGCAATACAACGACAACCGCAGTTGCTTAGAAGTATGGCAGAGCTCCCCAGGATTTATTTCCAGAGCCAATTCATCATTGATCAGATGGTCACGTCACTTCTTCGTATCGATTTTTCGCGGAAAAGCCTTCAAGAGATTGTTTACTAAAACTAGTAGAGGCTGGGACAGGAGGGTACGTAAATTAACCCCTCCCTATTTTTCACCCCTCCCACCTCCCGAAACATTTGCCTTTTTGTTAGTCCCAGCAGACCAGTTCCTCAATTCAATTCAATTCAATTTATTTCTGTCAATATGCCTTGACTAATTCTATGTTGCAGACTTTTTAAGTTTGAGTGTGATGGCCAAGTGAACCTTTTTTTTGTTTTTTTAGTTGGCCTCCACAGCACTAATTACGTTTACAATAAATACGGGCGAGGAACCAGAAAGAGCAAAAATACATAAACGAAATAATAGAATAGAAAAGAACAGGTAATTACAATTACAGCAAATACGAAAGTTTTTTAAAAAGGTAATAGGGACTGAAACTTTCCGTTCATTAAACGTTGTGAGCATATCTTCCAATTTGGATTGTAGAGGTGAAGCTCCTTTAGAAGGTTCTTTACCTGCTCGGTTGTAGCCATTACTTAAGTAGCGCCGAAATACGACCGAGCACTTTGAAACGTGACCGGCCGCCATAACGACTTATGCTAAGAGTATTGTCCTTGCTTTTTTTTCTCCCATCTCTCCCTTGGTTGAGGTCATTGTTATCTAAGGTCTTCCCCTTCGATCACCCTCCATCCTATTCCTTCTTCCCCCTCTGCTAAGAGGAAGTGAGGTGGGTGTTTTTAGGTTAGAGTACATATGCGCGAATAAAAATAAGGGTAAATATTTCGTCGCTTTTGAAGTTGCAGAACAATTTTCCGCAGAAATTTGTTTTGTCACGTTATGTTACTTTTAAGAAATATGAAACGGAAAGTAAGCAGGGAATTAACCGTGGGAAAATCCCCATTACATCTCTTGTCAGTCGAGCAGTCACCCTGACGGTTTTTCGAGGAAAACGAGTTACTAGAATGGAGTCGCACTTTTTCAGGATTTTGGGAGTCGGAAAATTCCGGTATGTAGGAATTTTAAAATAGAAAGATTTACACCACAGTAAGTTAAACAAATGTGTCAGTTCATTTCAGGATGACCTGGTTAAAAGCCTATACAAGGTAGATATATGCATAAACAGAAATTGACTAAGTTAGGATCGCGAAAATTACTTTTTTCCTAAAGTGACCAAGATGGGGTCTATAATATGGCCACAGAAAAGACTATAATGGAGTAGGCGGATTCTGAGAGGACAGCGCACATACCCAGCATAAATTAGCCAAAGTACCCCCCCCCCCCCCCACCCCCTCTTCACCCCCCGAACCAGGCATATCCTTAGTTTCGGTAAATAAAACCGAAACTCCCATATGCACTGCTTGCAAGGGAAAAGTAAAACTTTAACGTGGCGAAGAATGGGATTAATTTCGGTCGCACGAGGATACATCGAGAATTGCTTTACAGTATTACATGCAAGACACATGAAACTGAAAGTGGAAACGGAGGTACACCGTTTCTGTCACTGATTGTCAATGATATGTTATCGATTTCGAGGACACAAGACGTTAGAAAGGTTTCTAACAATAAGCAATGCAATATTTATTAGACACCATCTCCATGCACGCTTACAGTGAATAGCAAAAGAAACTAACCAAGTGGTCTTATATCAATCAATCAATCAATCAATCAATCAACTTTATTTAAACACGGTAAATGGCTCAGCAAGCTGGTTTTCAGACATGCCGTGTGATAATTACAATTTATAAAAATTAAGACTAGTGATTAACTAACAATACAATATAACAGCAAGAAATAAGTATTAGAAATAAGATAAAAACATGATAAAAGTTATATCCTAAGATATGGCGAGTTTAAAGCTAGTAAGATCCCCCATCTCACGTGTTTCATTTGACAGTTGGTTCCAAGCCATTGCACCCCGATAAGAAAATGAGCGCTTGAGAAAATTTGTTTTAGGTAGTGGTAGTTGGAGATCATAGTTAGAACCCCTCAAATTATAGTCATATCTCGATATAGTTAAAAGTTACAGGCCTCAGAGTGTCTCGTCATATTAAACTATATAAAGCCAAAGCAGCGCAACTCTGAGGAAAGTAGTAAAATGAACCAGTGCCCATTTCACATCGTGGAATATAACTGATTTCCATCCCTATTGGTCATACATTTTGTGTTTGACTCAAAGAGGTGAAGGTGTCACTCGTCTTTCGACTTTATAACTGGTTTGTGAATCTTTACTCCGGGTTTATTATTACGTGTGACAAGTTTGTAAAACCAAACGTATATTAGGTAAGCCTAAAATTCTTTGAGAAAGGGGTCTACTTTTTGTAAAGCAATTTAATGTTTGCAAAGATCATTGAATTGAAGCCTTCATATGTGTCATTAGTCTTCATATCTCAACTGCATGAGCTCAAGAATGACATTGTACTTGCCGATCTTCTTACGCATCTCCGCGGCCTCTTTCCATAGCAGACCCAACTTTTCAAGCGTGTTGCCTGTAGATATGTAGGTGTCATGAAGAAACGCTGCAGTACCAATACCAGCACCGCATGTAATAGTGATGACCACAGGATTCCCACTGATGAACGAGAAACCACACACACCAAGAGTACCAGAACCGTACGCAGCAGACCATATTCTGTAGCTAGTGCCTTTCTTCACATCCTTGTAAACAGACTGAAGCAAATCCTCTAGCACCTTCAAATATCGACTCAGCATTTGACTCAGCTTCTGAATTTTTCGTGGTATGTTGGCAGTGTTGCCATTTTTAAACTGTGGCAAGAAATCGTTCTCTATTGAATCTATAATGATTGTTAGTTCCTCCTTTGGGAAAGCAATCTGGTGCCGTCTGTAGTCTATTTCCAAATCCACTGCATTCTGATACAACTCTATACTCTTGCCCACTAAATGAAAAGACAACAGCACAAGCTCTGTTCCCGTGTAAGGAACTGCCTTCTCCATCAAGTTTGGAATCTTTCCAATAAGATCTTTCAAATCTTTAGGGATCGAGGCTTGCACTGCTTTCCAGTTGGTTTGTCGCAAACTCATGACTGTTCTCTGCATGCAGTCTTTTAGGTTCATTTGGAACTTTGGATCATTTGTTAGTGCAGCCAAGCTAGGATTTTTCAGTACCTCTACACACTCTCCCGGCAGAAAGAAAGCCTGAGTTGGAGAGTTTACTGAGCTCAGCAAGAACGCCAAAAGTAAAACACGGCTGAGATGGAAACGAAAGCGGAAGTACGTCCGGCCTTTGGAGAACATCTTGCTGAGCTTTCTTTATGCCTCAAGTTTGATTTCGATCAACCACTCTGTCCAGTTGTGCGGTAACTGTGGCCGGGATCGAAAAAGTCTTGAACAGCTCTCAGACAACTGGTAAACAATAGGTGTCAAATAGAAAAATATTCATATGTGCGACATCTGCGGCTCTTCTATCACGCGGGTTGATCACGAGTGCAAAACGGTTGTCCAATATTGGGGAAATAACCTTTGATATCGTGTGTAAACAATAGAATATCGAAACTGAAAGGGGAAGTTTCCTCCTAACTTTATCCAATTGAAAGCGACCAAGATTTTTTCCACGAATCGCATGCGCAGACGGGATGGGATAAAACACGACTTAGCTTATTTTACATTTGCATTCCCTTCACGTAATACATGATACCATTACAGCATGATTACAGTCTCCGTTTTTTTTTTTCTTTTTTTTTCGGATCTCCGCGACTTCGACCGCGTAGAAAACGTTTCCTTTACGAGGGCGTCTACTCATGGAATGCAAACGTCAATGGGGAAATAAAAACTTTTTTTATTATAACGTTATTGATTGTGCCTCATTCAGCCTTTGGAACGAAAATCCCCTAGTCGACCAGGAAACAACCTCGTTCCCGGGATTTACGGGAAAAATCGTAATGAGAAATGGAATTGAGAACTCGTGACACAAACGTAACACGACACTGAAACACTTCCGTGCCACCGTAACCCGACGTTTGATGCCATTAACAGCAGCACTAAACTTCGATTCTTTCTCCATGGAGTCACAGCCGACTGGCGAATAAGTAAAAGAAACCAGGACGTTGCTGATCAAACTGAGGCCTTACTAAGAAGCTCACATTTACTGAGAGCTGAAGTATAAAAGAGAGTATTGGTTTTCACCTGTAATATGCTCCAAAACCGCAACTACGTCCGCTTTCCCTACTGTGGTAGCGTGATCAGTTTTGTGGGGGTTTTGGTGATGATTTCTCCAATGGAAGCAGTCGGTGTGCCCAAGGAATGTATAGAGGTAGCAACCTACGGTCAAAAGTTGTGCATGACAGGGAGCACCGTGATAGAGATAAAGCAATTGGTAAACTTTATTAACTGTGTAAAAGAACTGTACAAGATATACATGTACAAGACAACAGCTGATTGGAAGGTTCCAAAAGAAGTCCTAGCTGTCATCCGTAAAGTACCAAATCTGGGGAAAAACTCACTTGCCGTTGCCAAGCTGGAAGGGCTGTGTTTTGTGTCGGTGTATTTGCTGTATAGGACTGTGGACCTGTACGATCGCGCTTTGAACTTGGGCATAGACTTCCAGATGTATCGCAAAGAGTTCGAATCACTTCAAATTGAACTGCAACAAGTCATACACCTCATACACGAGGAGCTTCTACCAAACTGGAGGCACCTTAGCCTTGGAGTTTTGAGGAAAATTACACTGGATGTGGATGAAACGTTAAGTCGCTATCACGCAAAACTCATGCAGGTGCTGCAACACATTGACACCGACATCAAGAAAGGGCGTCTTGGTATTGCATGGGCTTTTGCTTTTCAGTTGGGATCCGCTGCTTTGTGCGGAGTGTCAGCTTTGGTTGGAAATGTACCGGGAGCTATATCTGCATTCGTCGCTAGTTTCACAGGCCTTGCTGGCGTTCGTTCTTTCGCATTAACAGTTCAAGAGCTGGAATCACTCCAAAACGATGTGGAGGCTACGTTAATTGAAATCGAAGAATATCGCTTTCTTCTTCAGCAGAAGCTATTGTATTCAGAAATTTTTGTCTTCCTCTTCAATACCCTTTTCCTTGTTTCTGTCATTGCTCTGTTCAAGCTGAATCTGCCGCAACCGCTGAGCATGGATGCTCAGGGAGGCAATAACTAGAAGCTAATATTTATTACCCCGTTATCAAAAGGTGACTGCTATGTGGAAGAGCAGGCGCGAATCTAAGATAAATTTTGACCGATTTCCTAAACAAGGAAATTTTTTTATTTTAACTCCCTAAAGTCCCCTTTTCCGGGTTTCTGAGTTTTTCAGACAAGATATTGGCCAGTTCCATTCTCTGATTCGGCAGATTATTTCATCAAGGTCAATTTCCAGATTTTAACTTGGAAAGTTTTTTTTATTAAAAATATAGTTATGATAAAAAAAATATGACCGATTTGCATGGTAAAGCGGTGGAAACCGGTTTGAAGCCGTGCCTGGAGAGACTAGGCGGTGTGCTTACAATTTACACTGTACCACCGGTACTCTAATTGCTATAGAGAGCGACGCGCCATTGAAAGTTATTCCTTTTAACATCTCTTTCTAGTTTCTTTCTTTTTTTTTTTCAAAACTAACTTGGCATAGGAAAAATGTAAGAAACGTTAGATTGAAAGGTTTATATCCCCCTTCAAGATTCAGATAGCAATAACAATATCGACATTAACATTTCAGCATTAACAATCATGAACAATGTCCAAATTCTACCAGTTCAGTTAAAAATGAGTAGAAATCGCGATTTAGTTACCGACGTCTTAATAAACAGTCATCACTCAAAATTGACACATAAGTAGAGCTGTGTTCTGTTGAGAAACCAGAACTTTAAAGAAATCCTTATAAGTGTCTTCAAGGAGGCTGTTGTGTGTCTGGGTACCCTGTCGTGAGACTAGAAGACGACCTTCCCTGTCATTTTAATTCACCATTTTCACATAGACCATAAGGCACCTCGTTTACCCCCCAAAATTTTGTATAACCATTGTCTTCGATTTCCCTTGGGATGGCTGTAATATCTAGGAGAAATTGAAAACAATGGTTACGGAAAATTTTGGGGGTAAACAAGGTGCATTATGGTCTATATGAAAATGGTGAATATGAGAGTCCCCCCTCTCCCCACCCCACCCCTCCCCCCTCTCGGCTAGATGGTTAACTCTTTTTACCCTATTTGCGGCTAACGGTTAAACTTGTTTTAATTTTACGGCCTTTTTCTCAAGTTATTTAGGAGTCTATCTTGTACGAAGGTTTATCTCAACGACCGGAATAAAGAGTATGGACATTTACATCACCTGAGACTCGATTCTCGTAAACAACCACCTCCCGAGACGACAACCCAAAATGCGAAGACTCACCTTACGAGAGGTTCGCCCGTAATTGCCTTTTCAAAGCCGATGTAAGGTTGCGTTCGATTGGGAAATCCGGATTTAGATTTTGAAATCCGGATTTCTTTCTTTGCAATCGAACGCGAAATCCGAAAACGGATTTCACCTCCGAGAAATCCGTCCTCAGGGTGGATTTCAATTCAGAAATCCAATTCCGTATTTCATGGATTTCCTTTTTACCGTTCGATTGGGAAATCCGAACAAGGATTTGCAAAACTGTTCTAGAGAACAGCGGTCTTCTTTTTGCTAATTATGCGTGCGCGTGTAAGACCGCTGTTGGCTTATTAAGGACAGTTTTTCAAATCCTTTTTCGGATTTCCCAACTGAATGGTAAAAACGAAAATCCAAAAACAGATAACTTATCATTGAAATCTGTTTTCGGATTTCGCGTTCGATTGCAAATCCGAAATCCGGATTTGAAAATCTAAATCCAGATTTCCCAATCGAACGCACCCTAAAAATCCTCTTCCGTTGCACCGCTGTGTTCAAAGTCAAGACCACAAGGTGACTGTATAAGTCACAACGTATTTTTATTTATGCCGTACAAAAACAAGCATCACTAGCCGTTCAGAACTCCCATTCAACGTGCTGATTACAGCAATTATTTTGATCAAAGAAGAGGAAACAAATATATTAGATACTCTTTACAGGTAATAAATAAACTGAAATAAATCCTATCCTAAAGGTGAAAGAAAACAAGCATTGCCAGGGTTATTAAAATTGATCGTTATGAGCTCTCACCATAATTTGAATAAAAGCTCGAAATTAATACTGATTACTAATAAATCCAGCTTGAATTTCAGCTGCACTTAGGGACGGACCATTAGAAAAGTTACGGGGGGGGAGGGTGGGGAATTTTCGAGCAGCAGGAATTTTTTTTTTCGACATCAAATTCCTTGTATGAATATTGTTTAGGCGTTAGCATGAATTTGTGTTAGGGTTAATTGGCGTACATGAATTTTTTTCATTTAATTTTCCCTTGCGCGAATATTTTTTTTTTTTACTTCGCCCGCCCTTCCCCCCCATAAGTTTTCTAATGGACCGTCCCTTAGTTCCAATTTTTTATGACATAACCAATCTAAAGTGCAACTAGAATTTTATTGAGGATCAACCACGGTCTTAATTCCTTAAAACACTCAAAATCAAGAGACGCGACTGTGTTGACTGGATTGCTTGGACAAATTAATTCGTGAATATCAACATTGGAGGGTAACGAGACCAAACATCAACAAGCGTTTATGGCCGGGATTTTAGGGAAAGATTTTTTCCCCTACGGTCACGCAACGCAGCCCCTACCGTCACGAAACGGAGGAGGGAGGAATGCGTGACGGGCCTAAAAGCTGCGAATCAGTTTATTCCGGTGTTTTGGATGTTCCCTTAAACGGATTTCTAATGGTACTTAAACATGATTTACTCAACTTTCTGTGAAGTGCGTCAGTAGATATTACATTTATAATTTTAAGCTCGGCCATAAACAATAAATGGAAAAATACATTTCTCCTGTACTACCCCTTATAAAACCTAACTTCAAGAATAAATTTCCAATTTTCAAGAACTTTTTGATTGATTAATTCCCCCAAGCAAAAACAATAAAAAATATGTAACTGGCGAGCAAGTCAGATTGGGAATAATCATTTTTCAGGGAATGAAAATCAAAAAGGTAGTAGACCCGCATGCTGCTGATTAAAAAACATTTGTACTAGTTCTCTATTGATAATTTCACGTGGAACTCAAACTACAATTTGATCGTCGATTGTCGAGGATTACCCGAAGACTATCAAAGGTTTTTGAAATTGAGTCGAATATTTGATAGTTTTCGTGGGCGTGACTATCGAAATTTACTCATATTTTGATAATGGGTTAATTATGTTTTCCGTTTCGTGCAAAAACTGGTCAGCACATCAGACGCTTCCCCTTTTACAGTGTAAGTCTTCGTTTAAGTAATTTAAATTTGTCAGCTCATTTGAAATGTCACTAGATATATAAACTTGTGCAACAAAAAACAAATAAACAAACAAATCGGTGCTTGCAGGAAGCCATGGGCTCCTGATGGCTATCATTATCTTTAGATTATGTAAACTTCTCAAATTTTCACTGTTCCATAAATTGCTCTATCGTAATATAAATAGCCACTATAAACCAAAAGTACGTCATATCTTAATAAATATATTTTTTCTCTAATAATACAACAAGAGCCTACAATAAGGGACTCCCGTCATGTAATTGCGTGACATAGATGAGTCACACAATCCCTACTATTAAGGGTGTGCGGGACCCCCACACGACCTTGGGACTTTTTACAAAACCGAATGCACGATACAGTAAGGAGAGAGTCTCCTTCCTGTCTTCGATGTTATGTCGTCAGTTACCAATTTACGTTTATCTAGTAATACTGCTGAGAATTTTAAAAGGGAATACTGAAAATGGGTTGCTGTTTACGTGTTCGTTCTATGTAAAGATGGGGTAAAATTGTAAAGATGCAATTTCCTGTACAATATCTGCATCAAAGTGATAACAAAAACCTATTATAAAATATATAAAGAAGAGCAAGGGTTTCAGAGACAGCAGAACGATTCATTCCAGTCAATAAATAACACCTACGGGAAAAATGTAAATAAACACAGGGCACCCAATCTCTATCGCTCTTCAATCTTCAGCGACGTTTTTGAGCGACGCACGTCTACCGAAGGTGAGCCTTTTTTCTCTTTTAACTCTCCCTGACGGTACCAAATTTGTATAGCTGAGTGTTTTTACTCTTGTAGAGAAGTTGTGCCCAAATATATGTTCAATGTACCAAAAGCCCAATTCCGGTTGACATGCGTCGCTCAAAAACGTCGCTGCTTTAACTCCCTATTATTTTGCTCTGACCATACGCGGTCACGTGTTCCACATGGTACTTAATGATATGGATATGGTGGTGGGTTCCCTGGGAATCCTGTATGGAACGTAGTGGATATGGTCAACGGCTTGCTGAAGTCACTTCTCCCCAGTCCATAATCAGGCCTGCAGTCTTGTCTTAAGCTATCAGGGTACCCGTTTAAAGTAGAGTGCACATGCGCAGTAAGATGACTCGGCGTATGATGAATTGTATGCTCATTGGGATGACCTAAGTATCCTGGATGTGGAAGAGGACGCGGTGCGTGACAAGGATGAGAAAGAGCACCTGTTGAAGACAACGGTGCAAGAGAATTCATTTGCAGGTTATGAATGTAAGGATGCGTAGACAGATTCATACTGGATGACGTATTCAGCGGTGTTGTGACCGTAGGTCTGTCAGTGCAGAACGTCTGTTGTCGACAGCTGCTTTGAAAGGAGGCAAAACTGCAAGACGAGTCGAAGGCGTCCGATGGACGTCGAGGAAATACGACATGGCCAAACGCGCTTCCTATCAAAAAAATAAAAGGAGATATGGATATTATCAAGATATTATCAAGGGCTTTTCAAGTAAACTTGACGAGGATAGTGGTGAGGGAAGTGTAGCTACCTTGGTATGCGGTATATGTATTTAGAAACGAGAAGGGAACTGGAGCAGAAATGTGTCTCGCAATGATTTCTGGGATCGTTACTGAGCATGTGCCGGTCAGCTATTGGCCAATGTTTTTTCGAAAATCCGCAAATAAGAATGACCTAGATAAGGCTTTATAAGCCCGTGAGACTGAGTACCCTACCCAAACCCTTGTTTTTACTAAAACCTCTAAGATGCCCAGGCTGGTTGAGGTCATTTTTATCTAAGGTCTTCCTGTTTTTTAGCTGTCCCTAGTAATAGTCCCAGAATTCAATGCGAAAGCTACCTCGTCCCAGTTTTCATCTCGTCTGTAAGTACTTCATAGAGAGCTTACCAGAATGCCCCATCATTGGGGGAGGAGAGGGGTCGTTTATATCCGGGAATTTAGGCGGAGAATCCTGATAAGTGCGTTTGCAAGACTCCCCACTTGATGTAGATCCCGCGGGGGAGAGAGACAGGGCGTCTGTGTCGTTGCAGTCATCTGGCGATTTTCTGGAACGGTACAATAAGAACAAAATTAATCTTTCCTCAAAACTCCACTTATTGCCCACTTAACAAGTAAAATGCATCTCACCAAGCGTTGCCAGTGAATGCCTTATTCACTTGCTTTAAGAGCTAGTGAATTGGTAAGCATTACCACCATTCATTCATCACGCTAGAAAAATGTCACGCTAAGAAAAAAAAAGCGAAAAGACAAATACGGTAAAGTCCTTGCTTTTCTGAGCTGACTTCTTGTAAATAAATCCGCAGTTGGGACTTTCAAGAAGAAAATTAGTGAGCGATACTTTTATGTCAATGTCATGGATGAACTTAGGGAGTGGCAATTCTAATCGAACGTAGGCCATGGCCATCTTGCAGCACTTTGAAAATCGGCCAAAACACAGGTGATACTATTTAGTTTTGATTTCGTGCATTCAATAGAGTGGAAGGCTGGAAAATCCCCTTTTTAGTTAAAAAGTATACAGTGTCACTTAATTTCTTTTTATGCTCATTATTATGATTATGATTATTTTAATACGCTTAGTGGTTAAGGTGTCTGCCCATGTCTCGATATAATTGCGTGTAGAAAATACTCATACGTAAGCCTCTTACTGAAAAGAAAGTTCCTTTTCATGTTCTTATAAGTAAACATCCTTTGTGATTCTTTCAGGGCTTTTAGCACTCATGGCACATTCAGGTTAACCCCATTAAGACCTGGCGGCAAACCAAATGTGGTTTGGCTTTAGTTTCATAATGTGCTCTCCTTTGTAATTCACTGTGGTAATTTTGTCACGCTTACTGACACGTGTGGTTCGTAAAGTTCCGGTCTCTGAAAATTCAAAGGAAGCTATATATGTATTGATCTCCTTTGGATCCAGTTGATAGTTACTCAGCCACAACAGAACAATCGCCTTATGGAATTCTTGATCAAACGATCTCAAAATTTGCAAATCAGTGAGCCATTTTAAACGTTGCCTTAAGTTAAGCCTCTTACGTAATTTTGTCTCTATATTTGATTAGAATTGACTCTTGCTATTTGCAATATTTTATAGACTCGTTTTCTCGTTTTATTGTATTTTGTACTGAATTTACTCTTATTATATAGTATTTAATGAAATTTTATTCTAATTAATTAGTTCTTATTGTAAATATATACTTTAGTTTTAATTATTGCCTCCGAAAATCCCCCATGGAGAAGTGGTAGTAAACGATGTATGTATGTAGTATGAAAGATTAAGTTCTTTACCATACTTTCACAAGAAAGCATTTGAAAAATCTTTGATTTCTCTGCCAATGTTACCTTGATAGCCATTTGAATCCTTGTAAAGGGCTAGTTGACACCTAAACTCTCTGCTCTCCAAGAAAAATCAAACTGAGTTGTGGTGAGAGGGGATACATGGACACATCCTAACAGCCACATAGCTGATATCAGTCCCCCCTCTGAAAATCAGCTTTGAAAGAGGGTGGATGTTAATCGGGCTAATAACGACAGTCATCGCGCGCGCCCAAACGGGTAGCCTTAGCGAAAACCACAGACTGTCCGCGGCAGGGTTTGATCCACCTTAATGGAAGTAAATGTTTTCCTGAATAGGGCACGTCTAATGTCTACTTTACGACCAGCTTACGGTGCTTACCTTCATTTTATTCTTTCCGGCGATTCCCGCTGAGTTGAGCGGGTAATCTACTCCCATATTATCCCAAAGAAACTACACTGAAGCCACTGTCATGGCCAATTTATCATTTGTTTGAGATAGCTCTGGGACCCATTTATTCTCTACATCAATTGCTTTAGTGTTGAGGATCATGTAAGCGAGATCCAGTGAGTACAATCTCCCAGATGTACAACTTTGTTGTGATTTTTTTGTACTGTATAAATCATTTCAATTTAATATTACACAGCACTTTTTTTATGATATTGTTACGGAGCCGGAGGCTGTTGTCAGTATTTGTACGTAATGCTTTTAAATTTAAATTTTCCTAGTTGTTGATGTATTTGTTAAGCCATTAAATGGCAACTAAAATTAAATCATTATTACGTAATATCACCGCCATGGGCGCACATACCTTTTAAGTGAAATATGGTGCATTGTGTTGTTGCAGCTCCCACGAAATCCCTTTGCAAAGGGGTTGTTCTCAATCTTTAATTGGGTTATCTAATGGAGAAATAACATAACTTCAGATGTCACGAGTAAGGGCCAACCTTTTAAAATCCCCTCCTCTCTGTACACTTCTCAATCTATAATTCTTAAGATGCTAAAAAGAGAATAATTATAATTTGTTTAAAAATCGCACGACAGTTGGCCATGGGAGATATTTTCTTGATTCCTGTGTACAATATATATGTCAGTCATATACAATGACCATGTGCTGGTCGGGGGTCGCCAGATTTTATATAGTTACCGAGCTAACGCAAACGTATCTGATCGTTGTTCGCTATGCTCATTTCTATCTATCATAGCTAGTGTTATAAGCAAGGTGTTGGCAAGAACTCATGTGCCTTCTACGGCTCTTAAAATCTTACAGTACGAATGAACCTAAACTCACAATCGGTATTAATATAACGAGGTTTTATCAACGCGTTTGACGAGCAACCTAAACCAAAATGTTCAATAATAGGTTGGTCGCGTTTTACAACTATACCAGCAGCTCTCTATTTCAAACACTCGTTAAGTTCTTTGTACGTTTAAGTTATATCCCTTAGTGCAGTTGATGAATTGTTGGCCATGTATTGGGAATTAGTGTCTTTCCCGTCAGCTGTGAATATTCAGTTTTGAGTTAATAAGGTGGATTGTCTCTTATTTGTCGCATTTTGGGCGTTAACCACTCATTTAGAACCTAGGGGGGTTAAATTAATTTGTTAAAATATAAAGTAAACTGGCCCCCTTTCGGCCATGAATATCGCTATTTATTCAGTAATACCGAAAACATATAGACCACGCAAGACTCGGCAAGTTATGGCAGTCAGTCCAAAGTATAAGTGTCATGTGGTTTATAACCTGAGAAATAATTAGTAGTATACGTGGTCTGGGCATCTCATTAACTTAAAAAAACGTTAAGGGGTAATGCAATACCACTTAGGGAGTACAAAGTGGATTCAAGTTATAAAGATAATTGCTTAAAATTGGATACAAAATTTTAAGAGGATGGTGGGTTTTCCAGTCGTAAAGACCACATATAGTATCGAACAAAAGTAGCGACTTATCCCCATATAATCATGGAAAAAAATCATCAAAACTTGACGCAATTATATCAGTTGACAGTACAAGGGAACCTTGAAAAATGAGGCATGAATATAAATGTTTTGTGGCGCGACACCCTGAGAATAAGGCTTCGTATACATTTGCTGAGAAATAGAATAATCACACTTTAGTCTTTGAAGGGTCTATTAGATATTCTATAGAGTGCTGTAATCCTCGCGAGAATTTAGAAAAGGTTACGTGATACTCTCTGATCTGGTCTACGACCTCGGTCATATCTGCTTATACAAGTTCAATAACCTTCATTGCCAACTCTCTATAACCTACTCTTGTTACCTTTGCCATGAAACTCTCCTATTCAATCTCATTAAGCTTTTCACTCCCAGAAGTGGCTTAAGTCAAACTTAGGAAAGAGGTCCAAATTTCATTTTGAAAAATGCCAAAAAAAAAAAACATTGAAAAAGTATCATACGAAAGTACTCGCAAGGAGCTTTTATTTGAATGGTCACACCACAGGATTTTGTCCAAAGAATCATAAGCCCCAACTACCTTACAAGACTCCATTATTTACTCTGGGAGTAAAAGGGTCAACGCCTTTTGGTGCATTCTGCAGGTTATGTCTGCAGGTGATCGCATATCATGAAACTCCTCAGATGGCTTCCTAATTTAAGAGTCGGGTGAAACAGTCAGGCTTGGAAAATACTCAAAAGGGCGAGAATCTCGGGGAAGATGTGGTGGGCGTGAGGAGGGGGTGGGGGGGGGGTGCTTATTGCAGGCCTCGGTTGTCTAAACGTTGGATGGCGCTATCCTATTAGGCAAAACTATTTCTTTATACAGTGGATAACAGATCTGTCCAGTGGATAGCGCTATCCACCTTTTGAACAACTGGGAACAGGTATACCAACTTTTTCTCTTCTGTGTTAGTTAATCAAAGGTTAGGGTTTGATAAATATCTTTCAGGCCTTCTCTTCAGTGTTTTACTTTTAAGTCAGGTGTTCTACCCTGTTATGCAAAGTTTGTGAGAAGCCAGCCGGATCAAAGCGCTCATTAACATTCCTTTTCCATTTACCACATTGACATTCAAATAATGCAGAAAGTAGTTTGTATGAGTAATAAAGATGTCACGAATCTAAAGTTCCTTGTGATTTTCAAATTTTCATTTCTTTAAGTCGTAACAAATAGGTTAAATTTTTTGTCCCTGGGATTTATATTGGAAGGAGAGCACGTGCAGTACCCTTATTGCTAAGTGGGTAGGTGCGGTGGTTAGTGTGTCTTCCTCAAGCGCCTCTTTCTTCCTTGCACCCATATTAATGCGACGCAGGCTAAGGTTTGGATGTACAAATATTACAGTTTTCATAGAAACTACTTAATATTCCTTTATTTTTAGTGATGCACAATAACCAAAGGAAAACCAGCGAGTTTTACTTTCCTCTGGTAGCTTCTGGTATTTTGTGTAAAACACTGTGAAAAGGCAACAAATGTTTAAAATTTCTATCGAATCTTAACTTAGTACGTGCTCAGCTGGGTATCCATTAACAAGGGGACAAATTAGTGGCGGAAACCCTAAATTATATTGCGGGAACATTTCCTAAGAAGTTTGTAGTCATGCATTTTCTGATCCAGCAGGAGCCGGACACTCTGATACATGCCGACTAGATAAAAACACGACAAATACACTCACCCGAAAACCAAATTCCTAAACCAATGGTCTGGAATCTATTCTATACTGAAGTATAAAGATAATGGTGAAATATTGACATTAACAACCAGAAATAGCCTTGTTTTGACAACGCAACCAAGGGTGTCCATCGGCAACTTCCTAGACTGAAACGCTCCGAAGTCCAAATTGCTAAGATGTGGTTTTCCGTTTTGCAGTGGAGAATATCCCCTCTATAATCTTCAGTTTTGCAGTACAGCTTATAAATGAAAACGAAACTCTGGTCACTTAAATGGGAAATAAATGTCTTCAAAAAAGCCTGGCTTTTTTGTTAAGCAAGTGATTGCTTGGATGCTAAAAGGACGTGAAAGTTACGGAATCCATGACTGTCGGATATTTGCCGCCATTCACCTTTCGTGATTGCGTGAGAATTTACTTTGTGTCTTTTAAGTTTCTCTCTCTAGAAAATCCCTCCAAGTACTGATGACCATTTTGTTTCAAACGTTTAAGGAAAACATCTACTGCAGACGCTCTTTTAGAGAAACTCATTGTAAAGTGGAATGTGAAACTATGAAAAATAAACGGAAATTGACAGTGGAGCACCAAATTAAATACCGGATTTGAAAAACATTTTTATTCGTTTCTTCTTCTCTTCATTTCATTTATAAAAGGCAATTCCCTTTTGGGTTAGGCTGTCCTATTCTCTCTCATACGTTTTAAAAAAGAGTAGTAGCAGTTATTCAAAACATTCGAGAACATGTTTATTTTGCGTCAAAACTATTCACGCTTGGCCAAAGCTATGGTCAACAAACAGACAAGCCGCAGCTCTTAGAATTTTATTATCTTCGAAAGGGCTTTCAAATTCTTGTCCTGTTTATGCCCAAAAAGAAAATTCACATTAATCCATTGCCATCGTCGGTCAAGTAGGAAGAACTCAAATTACCGCCAATTATTCCGCCAATAAAATCTATTGTTGGTGGATTTTATTTCAGACTACTGATAACCCCGGTCAAGACTCGGTTAACACCCCAAATACGCGGCCGCATTAGTATTTTCTAAACCAGTTAAGTTTAATTAATAAATTGGAAAGTTACGTTTCATTAATTAATTGGAACTAAACCTGTTAAGTCGTCAAGTGCGGCCGCAGGCGACCTGGTCGATTCTAAGTAATATTTGGCAATGCGTTTTGCAAGCTAAACTAGTGGAGTTCTTTAGCAGGAAAGGCGGTAAGGTAGCCTACGTGAATGAAATTGTAAATACAGGAAGCTCTCAGGAACAACAAACATGTACGGATACCAATTAATGCGATGAAATAAGTGGTTTACCAGGACCGATATCTGAGTCTGTAAGATATCGATTGCGTGTAAACCGCCGAAACCAGAAGTATACGCTTTCTGGCATGCGCAGTAATCAAATATTTTAGGACTCAAAATACTTGATAAAAATACATACTTGATTTAACAGAAATGCGCGCATTTGGCTCTTGGCACTTGGACCTTAAAAAACTTTAATGAGTCAGCAATTATAAAAATCACTTTGGAATGATTTGAATTGGACCCAGAAAATAGGAATAAATTTTAAGTATCAAATGTTCCAGTACAATGGGAAAGTACTCGTGGCATAAAGTTTGATATGGATGGTCACACTTTCATAATCGCATTTTCGAGCCCTTAAAGTTTAGTCTCGAGTGGTGCACGCTTTGTACCGCAGCAGTATTGAAAGCGATATATGTAATTCAAGTCTGTTTGCAAAAAAATTTCGAAACACTGGTATAAATTATTTTTGTTTCGTCAAAATAAACCCTTGGAATGAACTTGATTTTCTTGAAAAACGGTTGCAAAAACAACAAGCATGAAATGAAATTTCTTTTTGTGATTTTAGCTTAGTAAAAGCTGTGACTAACTATGTTTTGTTTAGTATAAAATATTGACATGATAATGGTCGACCAACAAACAAGTCTTAAAGTTCGCGAATTCTCTTTTTAGTCTTTTCCTGCTAGAAGGTAAAGTTCTTACTTATTTCCTTGATATTCTCAAAGTTAAGAACGACCGTTTAAAGCACAATAAACAGCACCACAGGAAAATACTCTCAGACTCTTCCATTTTGGAGGGTCGGACCACTGAAGATTTTTTTTATGAACTGAAAGAGTTAAATCCCCCTTGAAAATAATATCTTAACCGTAGGAACAGGAAAATGGTTCTCGAAGGCGTTAGCATTTGATAAGTATCGGCCAGCCTTTATCGCGCTTTATCTTTCTTAATCAAATTTATCTTAAAATCTTTGCAAGTACCTCTTTACATTTTTTTTTGTGGAGTATCCTTTTGCTTTGTCTTATACACTTGTATATAGACGCTACCGTATTACGCAAAAACTCAGACAAATTGGTGTCACATGTAGTTAATTTTGAGGTTATAGGAAGCCATCTCATAAGCTCCGGACTTAAGATTTGCTGAGTACGAGATTAACCCCAGATTTACGGACTTTCGAGTACGAGATTTCCTTTATTAAAGAGAAAACAAAGAAAAAAATATTTTCTTCCTACAATATAGTTTGCACCACTTAAGCCATGGAAAAATGTTCGCCTGCCACACAATGCTTTCCAAACCGGACTCACGAAATTTTACGTTTGATTAACGCAACTGCATCTAAGAATAAACGTCTTGCCTATTATGATTAAAATAAAAGTGAAATGTGCCCGTTTCTGTCTTGCAACTGAGACTTTCGTGTTGATACCTTAGTATGAGATAAATATCGTTTTATGAGCGTGCTAATTTTAGGCGTAGGTCAGTTTAGTCATAAATTGTCCCAGCATGAGCAAATTCGCGTATTAATAAATGTTACTTCCTTCCAAGTAGGCTAAATTAAGATGAAGACCAATGAACTCCCTAAATAATGCTACCTAAATACTAGCGTTCTAGTGCTAGCCCAGCAAAATGTGTCCAAGCTTTATTCTACTTTTGCTTTGTCCGAAAAGCTTTACTAGATTTTCTTACTATGATAAAGGTTAACCAAATTCGTTCGATTCAGCTAGTGTTAGTATCAACACTCAAAAAGCATTCTTTCACTCACAAATGCGCTCAGAACTTAGTCTGTCAAGACACCCGTAGATCAATAGTGCAACTGTAATCTAGTCAGTAAAAGAGGTAGAGAAAGACATCAATTGAATTCCCGATGGGAGATGGATCGATTATCCTTTTTTAAAACAATTTCTTAAATACAAATTAGTTAAAAGGACTGAAAAATGGGCCAAACTATAGGATTTTGTCCGTTCGATTCTTACTACCGTAATAACTTGATTCACAACACCGATGGAGTTGAAGATATCTGACCCGTTCGTTGTTTGAGTCAGTTTTTCAATCATGCCAATGTCTTATAGTCCTTTCACTCCTAAGACAGCCTAACATCAAGATTCGTCTTAAAAATCCCCAAATCAGTTTAGTTTGCACATATTCTGAAAACCAAATAGCACCTTACAAAAGTAATGCCAAGAAAGTTTCATTTGAATGATACACCCTATAGGCTTTCGCCAACAGGCTGAAACGTTAGGATCCATATAGACACGAGTTTAGCAGTGAAAGAGTTTGACTTGGCTTCTTTGAAAAGCACTAGACCCGCTAGCTACACAGGAATACAAAGGAGGCCAGTGTGTGAAATAAAATCAGCTGCTAGTCATTAACAAGTCAGTCTCACCCTTGGGTTTTGATAGGCAGTCACTCCCATGAATTGTGTTTCAGTAAAGACAAAGGTATAATAGGAACCCTTCCTCAGTCCATAGGGGCTGTAGTCCTTGGCTGGAATGATATGAACACGCGGCTGGTACTTGTGCATTGAATTCAAAATAACCTGCGGTGTGAAAAAGCATTGAGAAATAATAAAAATTAATTATTTCGTCATAAAAATACAACAATGACCAATCAGTAGTTTTAATTAAATGATCACACTTTCAAGAAAAGCAGAGTGAAATTTAGGACAACCTTGTATTTCCTCAACCTACCTCATAATGAACAGTAACACAGGAGAATGCTGCTGGGTAGATTTTTATCTTTTTGAATTTTTATCTTTAACTATTAGTGGGCATCCATAGACAAGTGCAACAGTAAAAAATAAAGCGTCTCCAGAAAACTATAAGCTCAGTAGTTAATGTGAGTGGTTTACTCAACGTCCACAGAACATATGGTCGAGCTTCCCCTTCAAAGCATATTAGGTACACTGATCTAAATCAGTAAAGAGTCAGTAACTTAAAAAACAAACCAACAAGCAAAGAGTATCGCTTAGCAATATTATAAAAGGTAACAAAGAAAAGTTCCGTTTTTGGAGCTAGGAGCTGACGGAGAGGAACTTTTAAAATGGTCTTACTTTTATTGCATTTATGTCAGGTTAAACTTCAGATACATTTTTTTATTATTTTTATTTTTAGTTATGAGAAAGAAAGAAGACTGTGTAGCGTACTAAAATGGGCCTTAATTCATAAATATTACAATGACAACCAGCTAAAGTACTCTACGTGATAATTATGTGAGAAAGAAGCAAAAAATTGTTTGTAGTATTAATTCCATAAAAAACCGTTTGCTAGATTTTATTTTTCTAATTTCATGATTAAGTAAATGAACTTCATACGTGACAATTAATTTTTTTGTCATATCATTCAGTAAATGTTTGCATTTAACAAGAAGGATTTCAACTTTGCAGGTTTTGACCTTGTTTTCCATATCATAAACATTTTATTCCTTCCAAACCTTTTTCCCTTGTCGTTAGAGCTACGACTAAAATTCAAAAGCCAAAATTATATTTGGTAAAATACTTACACACAAAAAAATACGACAAATGTGCGACGTATAAAGAAGAGTAGCAGAAGAAGTTTAATGGTTACACCAAAGGAATTTACTCTACAGAGTTTCAAAAGTCCTTGAGGCATAACCACTGCTAAACGATTTATTTGAATGGTGTTTCATTTAGAGACTAGGAGGTTAGAGCGAGCTGTATCCTGTAAAGCACAATCAGAACGGAGTCAGTTTTAAACGAAATTTATTCTACTCAATACCATACAATTCAGTAAATGGTTAACCAGGCGAGTTAGGTCTGAGATATATTCGATTACCATAAGAATCTCGTTTATTTCGAAGTCATCATCAAACTTCGCAGCTTATGGTTCCGGATAAAATGCCTTATTTTTCTGAATGTTTCAAGGCTTGAACAAACCGAGACAAGTATGCCTTTCTCAGTCACAGTTAATGTTTCTCAAGCTTCCCTTTACGGACGCACAATTTTCCCTCATTCTATTTGTTTCTTCTCCTCCACTGGCCACTGTCTAATTATCGTGTGTAGTAATTAGAAAATGAAAGATTCCAAGTTCAGTCAAACGCTGCATATTTATGTCAATTATCCAGCGTTTACCATTGGTTTTAAATGCTTTAAACCCGCTAATAGTTTTATCACTCTCACCCTCCACAATTTATACCCTTTCTCCAAGCTTTTGTGCTTTGCAAGTGTTGATTCGTTTCGAGGTAAAAAGCTTTCACAATCACTTAGGAGAGGCGGAGTAAATCTACCTCCCAAATCACTTGTTAATACCCCTAGCGGCTATGGCTATTGTGGACTTGTTTACATCGTTTTTGAAGATAAGAAACGCGAAACTTAAAGAGTCGTTTCGCTTTATGTTCTCATCAAGTTCTTCCTCTACTGTCGTGTCGATCCGACAACTTTCAATTTAATGCACACAAAGAAGACAACACTAATGAACTTTCACTTCATTCACAGAGCTTTCTAATCGTTGTTTAGAACAAGAAGTCTATTTTGCCAAGCCCTTTAGTGTATCAACAAAGGCAATTAAGTCTTTTGTTCACATTCTACGCATTTCAATAACCTTCACATCAATAGAGTTGTTCAAACAAATGCCTGATTTTGTAGATAACAAAGAATAGTCTTCCGTATTTCCAGAAAAGAAATGGACTATGAATTAACTAGTAACGTATCACGATTATCAAATCCCTATGCTTATCTTTATATCCCTTGAGCTTATTTACGTTTTATTCAATTTATTTAGAAAGTGTATTTCTTCAACTTTTCCACTAAAAGGAAATCCTCTGTACACAAATCTTGCATTTTGTATTTCTTTTAGTTGAATGTTTAAGTTTAAAGCCTCACTGCAACATCTAGCTCTTTATTGGTCTTTCCGATTCGAATAAATAGACAAAAGACAAGCCCCAAAAGACAAGCCCTGAATTTTTGCGACTCTCTTTTTCGCCATTAAGCTTCCGAGTTTGCATGACCTTCACTCAGTTAAAATAATTATGTCGTTCCCTGCAAACTTACAAGACCAGAGCATCCAATTTGCTATAGATTACTGAGTACTACTATGACACATAAACTTGGCGACATTTCTGACCACGAAAAATTTAACATAGCTGTTTTAACACCGTTACAAAAATTCCCTTCTATTGAAGAAAAGGCAATCAGGGAGATTGAAAGAGTACTTTAAGAGTAATTTCTTCAGTTGCGTAGTAGTTGACGTGTAAGTAATAAAGACTTTTTAAGTTTTGCGATGACAATGTACTTATGATTGATCCAGTACAAAGTTTCTGGTACAAAGTTTATGACAAGTTAAAACTTGCCCTTTTAATTAAGATTTAGAGTATGGTCTTGAAATCAGTTGTGTGTAGTATATTTTACTTAAGCGAAGCTTGGCAAGCAGCACTCAATGGTAAGACGTTACTTGAATCTTAGATGAGTACAACAATGGAGAAACTAAGTGCGGTTCTTACTTTCGAGGCTGTGCACGAAATCCGGTTTTGAGATCATCCCAAAGAAACAGACTTTTAGACTCAACTTTCGCTATGTAGTTGAACCCGCCTTTCACTGTTTGCGGAAAAGTTAAAATGAAATTTTTATTTCTCCATGAATTTTGTTTTTAGAGTAGTTTGTCATGTAAACCCAGTTCACCTCGGGTGTTCAAATAGAGACATAAATTCAACTGTAGTTGTAACCAGTACATAGATTCTTTTAGCATAGACAAAATAGGTTTTGATTTTGACTTTAAAAAGAACTGATCTGTGTATTACTTTTTGGACCATTTCTACGCTGATAAATTTCTTCAAGTGTAGTTGCATGTCAGCATTCGAATAAGTAAACCTCTTTAACAGTACTTTCACATGATATTATTCGTTTAGTATGTAATGCTAACCCTGGAGTTTGAAGCCAAAATCCTGTACTATGCGGACTATTTAAATGAGACCTCTTCAGCATTACATTAACTCGGAGTAATGCATCGTTCTAGCTCTGAGTTTGTGTACAAAATCCTTTGATGTGACCATTTTAATTGAAACCTTAATTCACCAAGAACTGTCACACAATGCCATTTAATTTTTTTCAGTATTTTAAGTTTGAAATTGCTTTTAATATTGATCTAAGGAAGAGGGTAACCCTTGAAACCTTTGGAAGTGGACAAACTGGGAAAACAGTTTCAGTTTATTACCCTCGATATTAGAGATGTAAATAGTGCTGTAACGAATGATAAAAATTCATCTTCAAAAGTTACCATTAATTTTAATATCTATGAGCATTAAGGTGGATTTTTGAAACTACATTTATTTAGAACATATGCCAATTTGCCTATTACAATTAAAATATAGCATTGAGGTTTTTTCATTCTTCAATTTGGGTGAGACCAAGTCCCTGTAATCAATAAGACCTCTACTCCAAACACTCGCCCCTTTGAAAGACAGAGACCTGGCCATTCTCTCCTCCAAAGTAACGTAGAAATTTAACGTACAAATTTTATACTGGGAAATGGCAGCTGAACCATACAATGTTTAATTATACTGAGCTTTCCATATCCACCCTTACAGAGAGCGAAGTTAACTATAGAAAAATGTAGAAAACACTGAGCTGATGAGGCATCTATCAATGACCTGACTGTATTCCTTTATATCAAGTAGAGCTTCTTTTTGTGCTGACATGAAATTTTTCCCTTAAGGTCACCCAAAACTTGCCTATTACTTCCCAGCCACTTTTAAACATGGCAAAGTAAATTTCCTAATGTCATCCTTTTCTTCTAGGTTTTTGTTTCTGTTTGTTGTTGCTTGTCGAGACGGAAAGAAACGTAAATTAGAAGAATTTACTAGGAGGGTACACTAAAATTTTCTTTCTCAGTTCTGTTATACATGTAGACAGATTATATGACGGTTTGTATATAACGATTGCCCAAAATCTTTTGGGGAGAGCCTCTAGAAACTACGTTAGGCTTTCGCCATATCATTCCTTGGTCTGACTTGCTTGTGGTTCGAACATTCAAGGACACACTGCAATGTTACTGTTATGAAACAAAGAGATATGGCGTTTGAGCGGAACTTATCTCACGATGGAGATGTCTCTTAACTTACGTGTCCCATCTGGTCCATGTGATTGTTCGTCAGTTTCATTTTCTGAAAAGAAACGACCTGCCTCATCCATTGAGAACCTGTTCCCGGCGAGTCTGGATGAACAAAGATTCTTGTGGGCATTAATGGCTCTGCTTTGCCGGTCACAGACCATTCTGAGTTGTGAAACTTGTACCTGTTATCGTCCGCTGGAATGATGTCCAAAACCAACACATACTCCTCCTTGGGATTTAAGCCGCTTATATTGACCCTGATCACGGGAAACATGCGTCTGTTTACGTAATAGAAAATTAAAATGTTTTTAGTGACGGGAAAATACCCCAAGAAAAGTTAAGTGACGTTGGAATGGATGTTCTTGGTGTTTTCATAACATTTACGGGTTGGATTTTTGTTGATGTTTTCTATTCCCGTCAAATTTCACTGGCGTATTTTCAGGCGAGAATCACGGAATAGTGCTAAACCACTGTGAGTGGGTCTAAACTGGTTTTCAATCAGCTGGGAGAGGGATCAAAGGGAACGTTTTTAAGATCGCGTCAGTTCATGGATGATCACGGTCTTGTTCTAATTCACTCTTTCATCGACTCATTTGCGTCGAATGAAAGCAATTTTCTTTTTCCGGAGTTTTTCACATTTACGAGAAACCAAACGACCGAAACAAATATTTTTATAAACTGTGAAGTATCCTCGAAATCGGTCCCAGAATATTACAAAATGGCGTCGTGATTAATGGGAGAAGTTTGGACACGAACACTTTGTTAGAGCGCTTTTGGAGAGCTTGACAGCTACGTACATAAATCGAGTGTAGTTAAATGATGGCTGTTGAAACATGAACTCTTATCACACATGTTTTCTACGACAGCGCTGTCAAGGTTTACAAGTATAATTATTTGTTTGTCTCGACCTCCCATTACTGATTCTGTTTGTCCTGAGCGCGACTGAAGAGGGAAATTGGAAAGACCATAGCTTTTCCTTAACTTCTAAAGTTGCTGGGGAGAAAAATTAGTTTTCCGAATGTTCTGCTCGGGAAAAATTGCGAAAGAAACATCAATACGGGAAGTGCTGTTTTATAGCTTTCGTTTGATTTGTTACACACTTTAATCTTTGTCGGTCCACAAACTTTAACGTTAGAGCACATAGAACGAAGGATTTACTCTAAGTCGTCGTTGGGCTCTAAAACGGATTGCTTTGGTAATTGCGCCGAGGAATCTATCCTTTTTCTGTTGTCTCATACCGGAGAGATTTTTACTAGACATGACATCGGAAATTTGAACGCGCGTATAATACATGGTGCTCTTTCTCTTACCGCCCCGTTTTGGTGATAATCATCTCAGTTCCTATATTGTGAAACTTGTCCCATAGCTCTTTATTCTCGAGTTCCACCTCCATATTGTCCGATCTCAGCTGACCGTGCGGAAGAGACGAAGAAAAACCAAACGCCATAGTGTGTATTTGAGAATATCCCGGGTTAATCGGTTGACTGGGAATCGTGGCAGAACCATGCATATCTTCGTAAAAGTTTGTAGGGCGGCTGTACGACATGAGGGAATCAACGTGACGATCTGGCGAAAGGAAAGATCATGGTGTCAGTGTTTAGATGGCTGGCCGCATATGCATGTGACTTAAGGTATGTTTGAGGTCTGGCGAGCCATTGTAATGCAACTTATAAGGAAGCCGAAGCCTCGTTACAATTTCCATTACGTCAGTTGATGAAGACAACGTCAAGGAAGCGGGTTGTACAGAGCTTAGCAAAGCCGAGAAATTACGGACGCAGATTAAAGTGGAAAGAATAAATTTTTCGCTTACCGAAGTCAAAATCCTGTCCTTGAAGCATTGAGCTGCTGCAACCAAGAGGCAGACCGGCACGTGGAGGTAACTGACCTTCCGGGCTTTCAACGGATGTCATCATCGCATAAGAAAACTTAGCAGCTCTCTACCTCTCAAGGGCTTCTGACTTTCAAATGCAATGGTTCAGTGACTTATTTTAGTCTTATATTGAACTGCGAACTTGATGTCCAGCAAATGAAGTGGCGGCCAAATCAACCAGCGTCGTTTGCAATGCCAGACAATTCAGATGGTTTGGCACGGTACTCCGGTGTGATTCAATTCAAACATAAACAGCACTCTACGGAGCTCTACGGTAAAGTTTTGCTTTTGCAATCAATCATTAAACGATTTTATTTATACACCATAGAGACTTAATGTCTCTCGGTAAAGGACATTCATAAATCACTTAGGCGTTCTGCTCAATTACAGTAATGAATCTATTAACGCTCTGATTGGATGACCAGCTGTCAAGTAGCCATCAAAGTTGTCTTTGGATAGCAATAAGCGGTGACGTTTTTGTCATTTCCTGTTAGCCTTTAAATAGCTATTGTGTAGACAATCAATTTGCCGTGTGAAGGAGGCGGACTTGGACAGCCCATAACAACGAACATTACACCAAAATTATCCGAGAAAGAATTACTCGGATATTTTACTCTGAAAAGAGAATTACACAATGAATTTGAATAAGAATGGAGGGTCACTCGAGCGCACACACGACACAATACAGAGGCGAATTTACAAGCTCAACATAACCAAGTATTTCCGGCTCTGCAGAAGCTCACAAATTATGACAGATACAAAAATTCAATGAGCCCACTGGGAAAACGTCCATGCCTGATGTAAGGAGAAAAGAAAACAACGATCTTTCAATTTGTTTTGTACTCGAGTTGAAAAGAATTATGCACTCAGCCACAAGGCTTTGTGTAACTATGCAGACACGGCCATTGTTTCTTGTCAGCTTTGAAAATTTAATCAGTAAAACAGCATGGATTGAAAAGCGATTTTGTACTAAGAAGATAAATCAAACCCTTTTGAAAATAAACTGAAAAACAAATTAGTGGTAAAATGCAAGGTCGAGCGCCCAAAAATCGATTCAAGTCAGCTTTTGTCGTTGATTGACACATGCCTATTTAAACAGCCCAAAACCAACACAGATATCTAGAGACTCACGTAGACATCGTTTGGTACAATAAAATGAAATTTTTAGAGTCCCGTGCTAATCCATTTTGTGTATAAATGCCAATGGAAACCAGACTAAATTGATAGTTAAAACGCTTTGCTTCAGATCGTGTGAATTCAACACACGATGCTTAAAATATTAATTATAGCTCAGTACCCGCAATTTCTTCTTTTAAAAATACGTGGCGTTCACTTTTGCCAAAATCACTGTTATTGGATTCAGTTGTAACACTCCATTACACGCCGGCTCATATTTCCAAGAAGTGCTCCCTTCGACTCTGTATAAAGTGTTCGCTAAAAACTCGGGAAAACGATAAATGTAAGATTATTTCGTACCGCTTTAAAATCACTAAGGAAAACTGACAATGGCAGATGTTTAAAATAAAATAAATCTACCTCCTAGCTATTTCCACGGCTTGCAAAAGGATACTGTTTTCTTCCGTTCGGTAGGCAACGCGGGCGTTCTTTTTCCGGCTGGATTATCGCAAGCCAGGACTAGTCAGCCAGCAAATCACCTTGGTCAGATTTTTAGCTTTTGTTTTACACCCCGACAGACAGCCATTAGAAAAAGAAACTTTTATCTAGATGTCATTTAATAAAGACTGTAAAAGGAAAAATTAAAAATTGTTTTAAAACGACCGCAGTTGTTCCGTCGCGTTAACAGCTGGTATAAGTGGGAGTGAATCGGTATTAAGAACCTTTTGCAAGCTAAAAGCTTTTAACAGATTAATGAGACAAGACTAAAGAACACGAAAATGGACGTAACGTAATGCGTGCGCCGTTCAAAACTTTTAAAACTGTCCATCATTATTTGTTTATTTAGTCAGTATCGTCTTGTAATACACTGAACTGTTAATTGCCTGTTCAAAGCTGTTATAAAATAAAACTTTTTTTTATTCGGGGCTAGGGATTTCAATGCAGGTAGAAAACAATTCTCTTAAGTCTTTAGTATCGTGCTGCGAGCCTCCTCCTAAGATTCGACCATGATTTTTTTGTTGATTTTGTGGTCAACGATTTTGTATCGTCCTTTCGGCACAGCCCACTTTCGACGGAAGCTTAGATGATCATCAAAATTTTTGCCATTTTTCTATGCATTGTAGCATTAGTTTCTTTGTTGGTTTGTGTTTATCCAAGTTTCATTCTCAGACACGTACGCGACGACATTTAAGAATCGGTTGAGTCAAGAGCGTGCTTATCCAATTTTACCATCATTCTAATTAGACCATTTACTTCTAACCTTGGCCGAGTTCATACTTGAATAAATCCCCAAATCTCGTTGTTTCAAATATCAAGTCTTGTTTAAAAACGCTACATTCAACTTCAATCACTGAGCAACGCCACGGTAACTGTTTTTTTTTTTTTGAATGGTCACACTTAAGTATTACATACACCGAGCTCTGGCAAATATTAAAGCCCTCTTGTCCATTTTGAAATATGCCACCTCGTCAAACTTCCACAACGAAAAGCGTTGAGTTAAATGAACAATTTTAACTGAATAAACATTAAAACCATCACGGTCCTTTCTTTTTATTTATTTATATTAGAATTTTTGTAAGCAAAGAAAAACACAAAATTGACACTAGACGCGTGTTATGTGTTTTTAGAAACTGAATATCTGATGAATAACTTTTGAGTCAAGTTGACATTTGTTACGACATTCAGTCAATTTTTTATAACAGGAAAAATAACATTCCACAATTAGTCAAAAGAAAAAGTCCTTAATGAATCATTCAAAAAACGGAAATAACACACGAGCCTGGTATTTTACTTAATCCTTTCGATTTTTCTCATAAATTTTACATACGGACCTGGCATTCTAGAACGTTTCTACTGAGGACATTTCATCGAAGCTATAATTGTGTGCGACAGGAAACAATTATAGTAAGACGTTTTTAATGCCCCTCTCCAACCCTCTACATGACCTTAAAAGTAATGAAAACAATAGCTACTTAAAAGTTTAGGAATAGCACTAATCCTAAAATCTTGGAAAACTGAGATAGTTTAAAATCAGTTTAGCTTAATTTCAAGTCAATTTATTGTAAGTGACCACTCAAAGATTCACATATTTGTATGTCCCCTGGCCGACTGGTTGTTCTATGATCATCTTGTTGTAACTTTTAAAGAACTTTCATTCGCGTTATTAATGTTTAATCCGGTTATGATAGGAATATTTTTTTACAGATAATTCTCTTTAACAGAATATTTTTGTTGTTTTCTTTGTCATTAAAGAATTAATTCGTCACTGTTGAGAATTGTTTTCTTTTCGAAAATTCTAAATAGTACATCATTTGGGTTCTTCCGTTTATGTGTTCCAAGTCTTTAATAAGCTTTTCTATGGTAAAAAGCGAACCTCAATTCATGCTTCGGTGCTTAACGTCTTACTCCTAAAGATAAATATTTTTCAAGAGTGACTTCCATGCGGTCTCGTTTGTTTAGTGTTTTCTCAAGGGTGGGGCTTGAAAGAAGCTGAGAAAACTACTCCTCGTATTCATAAGAAGATTGCTCATTTTTTTTCCAGGATCATGGTTTCATTTATCAGGAGAGGAAGCATTAAGTCTTTTATCAGCGGGCAGCAAAAGCGCCACTCTCTCCCCTCCCCTCATACAAAAAGAGTCAGGAAAAAAATCCTTAATGGCGATAATGCGTTCACAGGAAGGCTACTGAATAGTTCTTTCCTGGCGGCAGATTTGACGGCACTCTAAAGAGGAAAAGGATTTCATGCTTATATCATAGAAAGGCAGTACCGGCATTTACCATAAATAGCCGGTTTGATACTGTAATCATATTTGATTATGAACACGTCGAATACATGACGCGGCACCTTCCCTGCTCACGCCTAGAACACATGAGGCGGCAACAGTAAACAAAGATCTAACGGTCAAATCTGTTAACAAAATGAAACTTAAGCAGTAGTACTCTTGTTTGATGCGATTTATTTTTCAGTATTTTATAAAATGAAATTTAGAATTTTCCGTGCATCTTTACCTCAGATCATGACTCAGGTAGTAAAGGTTAAACAAAAAATTAAGTGGTGGCCGCTTTCAGTCTTTAAAAAATGCTGAATCTGTTATTTAGAGCGCCAGTTGATAATTGAAATAATGGCTTCCTCATTCCCATTGTGGTAAGTTATGGAGTTCAACTTTGAGGACTGTAAATGAATTCTTGCCTAAATTCTTTCAATGAAAAACCTCTCTTTAATTCAGCAGTATTTTCCATTCTTGCCGTCTTTTTTTGTGTCTCATAAATTCCACCATTTTCAGCTTTTGTGTGACTTGAAGCTGTTAGAAGAGCTAACTCTACTAAACGCAGACGGAAACCCCACTGTCGCCTAGGTCGTCTAGTCATCCCTTTAAAACAAAAGTCTCATGGAGTAATGCCAGTGAAGTGTTGGGGTATCAACACTAAAAGGCGACATTTTCAAGCACCAAGCAAGTAGTTATTCCAGTTAGTTTTGAAGGCGTTAAGATCAATAATTTTCCTGCGTAAACATATTTAATAAAAATCCTTTTAACCACTTGAGAAAACCTTTCATTTAAATTGCTGGATCGCTATTAACATAAATCACTCGGGGAGGAAAGACACAGCAACAGCTAAAATTTTTTATGAGTGATTTGCTCTCTGGCCCGCTAAATAGCAAAGGTTTACGCTAACAGTCCAAACATTCGCCGCGTAAGTATTGCCTTGAGTTGGTTGTTAAACACCACTTGCATTAGTGGATTCAGTTGTAAATAAATCTGTAAGTTTTTAGATAACATCTTGCGAAAAATTAACCTTAGTCATAATATATAAGTCTCCCCGAGTTCAACTCAGGCTAAAAAATTCAATGGTACATATATTTCTATCGTGCGATCGCTTGCTCGATTTTTCGTTCGCTGGCCTATTCAAAGGGGCTGATAGCAATTT